AAATCTTTTGGAAACAAGACGTTCTTAAGTACGAAGTATACGTGACATGAAAAGCGCGCAGATGCTTCGGTTCGAAATATTTGCAGTCGATCAAATTAGATTTCCTTTCCGTCGTTTTACTTATTTCTAAAGACAACAGAATATTATTTACTCTCATATTCATCCTGAAGTAATAAAATTTTATCAGGCAACCTCCGGCGGATTCTCTCATGAAAGTACTATGTACTACAGCGGAACCTCTATATAAGGAAGTTTTTAATGGATAGCCTCCAAATTGGCGGACAAAACATTAGCCCGATGTTGCTTTGAAACAGTTGTCAGTTTTAAGATTTGGTACTTCCTGTACAGCCAGCTGCCTGACTCATAACGAATGTTATTTTTCACCCCAGTAATAGTAAAATATATATAATAAAACCTCGATATAACAAACCGTTGTTGCAGCGAACATATTTTGCCAGTCCTTCGACCCTTCGTTATATGAAGGATCAACTGTACGTTGTTCATAGATCGCGCCTTTCTGTTTCCACTCTGCTGTCTACCTCTACCATTTTGCCCCTTAGAACACGAAAACACAACGGGTCGTGACTTTTAAAGGTCGAGTGAAAAGAGTTTGTCGATTTAATTAATTTAATCACTTCTTTTCAGTCTCTGTAAATGGAGCACTTTCTCGCCAAGTTAAAGCCTCTTGATCTCTTTTTTCTGCATGTGAAATAGCACCTCCTGCACTACTAGTGTTGTTTTCCAGGGCCTATCTAAAATAATCAAAACGTCACACTTTTCGATGTTATTGATCAGAAGATTATGGTAAATCATGTGGAATATGTGTGGCGGCTGACAGGCTTTTATCGCAATTCAGAATTCCATATATATGATCTATTATAGACAGAGAACAATGTAAATACGTTGGAGCGAACTTGGAATTATCGGTATAAAATATGATATGTGATGTTGTTAAATCCATTAAATTAATGTGTAAGATTTGTTTGTTTCGTTGTCACGAATTTTATCATCATCACAAATTTCCTGCTGATTATAAACTTTATGGGATTTCGTTTCTATAACATGAACCTTCGAATATAAGCTCTTCAAAAACGGCCTAAGAAAGATATAAACCCTGTGGCTAATTGTGTTTAGAATTTCACGATATGTGGCACATTCTAACCGAAAACGACCCACTGAAGTATTGGAATTCCCCGTTGGCAATTTCACTTTCTCTAGCATAATCCAAGCAATGAGTCAGGCAATTGGCTGTACAGAAAGTACCAAAGTGTTATAACTGACAACTGTGTCAAGGCGACGTCGGGCTAACGTTCTATCCGACAATGTGGAGGCTACCTTAAGGTACGGAAAAACGGGCAACAAAAAACGTGCAACTTGTCTTGCAACACTGCTGCAAAACGAGTTGAATAGCGATGTTGGGCGTTTTACCACCCACATTAAACCTGTCTTGTAACAAATCAGGTTGTTAACATGTTTGAACATGAGTGGTAAGCCGCGCAACATCGCTATTCAACTCGTTTAGCAGCAATGTTGCAAGACAAGTTGTACGTTTTTTGTTGCCCGTTTTTCTGTACCTTAAATAAAACTTTTGACAGGTTATATATCTGTGACTAGTCAACTGAATCCTATATCTCCAGGGCAAAATTACTGCTGAAAGAAACCTTGGTCTATTACAAGTTTCAAGAATTAATCCTGATCTCAAATCTATTCTAAGAAACAAGCATCCAATTTTTCCTTGGCTTTAAGGCAACACATTGATTTTCAGATAGCTCACGTCTCGATTTCACTGCAAACAAACAGCATATCTCACATCATTTTCACGTTTGCTACTATTTCATTTGTAGATACGAACGTTCGTAAACTCTTAAGACATGTTTTCTTTTCTTATTTTGTAAACATAAAGGTATCACGAAAAACATAATTCTGTATTAGTTCTTCGCTTTCCCTTACTGCTGTACAGCTCGAGGAGTTTAAGATCAACAAGATATGAATATGCAATGTGCATGATAACAGTGTTAAATCTGTTATCAGTCTAATAAACACTTCATAAAATTAACAGAAAGTGTTGTTATATTTTCGGAAGAACATAACAAAACTTTTACAATAATATATAGATTTAGCCAGAGCTAAAAGCGAAGCTCTGGTTAATAATACTTATAAACAAACAAAATTAAATCGTGTAATGCTAAACGGGGACGGCAATGAAAATGGCATCAAGATCAATAGATCTAATTAGCAAAAAAACAAATTGCAAGTACACCCGCTTTTTTTTCTAATTAGCAAAAACACAAATTTGTTCGTTTTACAGCACACTTTTTGTTTTTCTTGGGCGTTCTTTAGCACAACTACAACGCTGTTTTGTAGGACTAAATCGTCAAACTTCCTAGTTACACATTATTTTTATGGAGGAATTATCGTATGTGTTTACCCAATATTTTGTCCCCTGTGTTCATGTTCGCTTTTATTTTTCACTGCCCCTCATTTTCACCTTGCTGGCCGCTAGCACTTCTCATTGTCTCACCGCCGCTTTAAATTTTCTTGTTTTTCTTCCTACAAAATTCGTCTCTTCTGTTTTCAATCACTCGCTCAAGCTCTTTCTCTGTTATCCAGGTGAGTGTAAACATCAAAAATAACGTCGAAAAAGACGCTACTTTGTTGTTGCTTTTTCTTTCTTAAAGTCCGGGCGGCCATGCGATTTCTTTCCAAATAAAACATTGAGTTGCTTTTCGGTTGCCATACCTGTTGATTGAATTATTTTACATTGGTATGCCTGTCGTGCGGACGGACGGACTCTCGGGCGGTCGGTCCGTCGGTGTACGGCGACGTGATTATCAAATTTTCTCGGATGGGTAGTTTACCACATTTTTCTTACCCATGGTGCTCCGCTGCGCGCTCTTCGCGCGCGAGAGCTCCGCAAAAAAGAGTCACTCAGCTTTAATTATTTAAATATCGAAATCACCCTCTAAATAATCACTGAATTGATAACTATCTTGGTTAGTTTTGGAACATAAAACCCTAGAATACTAAACACTCATTGATCTTGGTGTTTTAAGGAATCTGATTGGTTCGCTATTTTGGATATCGAAATTCTAGAGTTTTGATTCGCTTAGCGATCATGCTCCGCGCCTCTTTGGCCTTCCGATGAAATTGCATTTTCTGGCGTTGTAATGATTAAAACAATGTTCTTCGGTCGCCATTCCGCCCTTCCTCTGCAAAATTTTGGTTCGCTTCTCGTCTTAACTTGACGCGTAAACTGACCATATTTGGAAAGCATGGCATATAAGGCATTAGTAAAATCCAACTAATGGTCTGTTATCAATGCTTCGTTCTGATTGGTTGAGCTACTACTAGGGTATATGTTATAGCCCACTGGTAGCGAAAAGCGCCGGCTTTTAGGCGGTGTAAAAAGGATTAAAGTCTAGCTTTATTATATACGCACTTATTGGTTCGCTATCTCGGACTACGGAAAATATAAAGCAAAATAAAATGGCTCTCGTGAACTCAATGTTTTGCTAACGTTTTAGGTTAAGAACTTTTTGAACATTCAAGAAAATCCTTGCCCTTATGTTACTTTAAAGTCTTAAAAAAACTTGAATTATTGTGAAGACATTTACTGTAACTGACTTTTACGCTCGAAGTTAACTAGAGATTTTGCCCAGAAATCCAAGTTAATTTATGAAGAAAAAAGATGAAAGCAACTCTGATTTTCGAAAACTGAATGTACCAGCAAAAACACAAGGTAAAGAACATTACAGATAACGCTAACCTCAATCGGAGCCACCGTTGTCAGCACTTAAAAGAAGCGACAAAATAAACCATTTTCATTAGTGAGTTGACAGAAGCATATAAAGCTTACATTTCTTCTTAGATGAGGTGGTAATTTAAGCGTCTGACGATTACTTTTGCACTATTAATGCTACAGGTTACAACGAGATTGAAACTATGATTTCCCTTGTTTGAAGATACTGTAAAGATTGAACTTTTGGGTATGTTAACGGCAAAATGTTCGGGGGCACCCAACGTCAATTTTTGGAAAATATCTGTTCGGAAGACGATTTGAGATCTAGAATTTTAGGAGCATTTGTTGTAAAATTTCTTGCTTGCCTGCCTCTCCTAGGATTTTCGAACATCTGAAAAATGATATAATTGCCCATTTTTAACGGATTTTTACCCTAAAAAAGTCACCTAGAATTTTCGAGAGCCTTTTTTCTGGCTGAAATTTTCGAAAAGGTAGGTTTTGATCCCGATAATTTTCGGATCACCAGACTTTCAGTATAGGAAATCCGAACAGATGAAAAATTTTTAGCGGACAAAAATATACCTACCGTTTAAATACTAAAATACGTTCAACAATGCTATGTTTAGGTGGTTTTGAGCTATATTCTCGTTGGGTGCCCCTGAATGTTCATGCATGAATAAATCAATCAATGTAATCTTTTTTAATGGTTTCCTATCTGATACTGTTGAGATCACTTTGTGTATATATAACAAATATTCACCGAAGTGAATAGTGCAGGATATCACTGTCGTCCGGAAAAAGTGCACGCGACAATCCCGAAAGGTATCGTAGGTGGTTTTCAGTTCACTGTTTTTCAAAGAAATTTCAAAGAATGGCAAGAGGGGCCATGGACGTATGTTTGCGAGTGCTAAAGGAAAGAAACAAAAATAGGTTCGACAGCTACAATGTCAGGAACACTGTAATGATCATATCCCATATTACCTTTCGGGGTTGCCGCGTGCACAGTTTTTGGACAACCTTTCAAGAAATAGCTGTATACTAAAACAATTATTCACTTCAATCTCGCTGAATTGTGGCCTTATGAATGTTTACATCAGCCCTTCGCAGCTCTTTAAATAGTCTGCCTCTATTAATACACTTTTCCATTGTTTTGGACAGGTTATTATTTTCAATAAATGGAAAGGGAGGTCACTGAGGCGGAACAGGAGGTCATTATTACGAATAATAGCCTACTGTCCCACTTCAGTGACCACAATAATGACCTGCCGGTTTCAAAACAAAAGAATGGTGCATTAAATCGGATAATGCCCTCGCTCACTCGGCCTTCCCAAAAAATAATAACCTCGCGCTCGTCATTATTTTAAAGAAGGCGTCGCAACTCAGGCATTATCCTATATTTCACCTTCATTGCAAAGAATAATTTATTTTAAAGAAGTCAGCGATATTCCGAATGAATAATGCACGAGCTCGGTGTTTTGCAAATTTTTTTTAGAGTAACAACCTTTCAAAAATCGACAAAATCCTAAGGTTGATGTTTTGAATGTAGGAAAAGGAATTGACAGAGTTTTCCAGTTTACTTAAGCAGAATTTTTTGCTCCATGGAATGTTTACAACTACATGTTCTACTCTGGAGCAGAAGAGACCGTTTTTTGAACTCATCATTACCTAAAAAGATGAACTTTGTGCCGAAATCGAAAGTAAAATGAAAGCAAATCTTTACCAAAATTAAACATTTGATTTCATGTATACAGGACAAAGAATAATACTGAGAAACGACACCTTACCTCGAGCAACCGAGCCTCCATTGTCTGCACATGAGAAGAACGAAACCTTTTTTTCACAAAACGTGGCGTGTCGAACACCCAAAACATGCCATCAACAAATCATGCAACAGAAGACTATTGGCATACACCAAAACGTCAAGGTCAGGGTGATCCGGGGGAAACCATCCACCAGATCACAAAATAAACCCTTTGAATAAAAAAATGGCTTTCGAAAGCAGCAAAGCGAAATAAAGGCCTTTAACTTGAAATCTGGATTGTCTTCAAAAATTTTCAAAAATAGCTACATCAATAGTCTTATTAGAAAAGTCTTCGATAACCAGAAGAGACGTATTGCTAGATATCTGTAAATTGTGTATTTCACGCACCAAACTAACGGCGCGAATGGAAATCACGAAATTTCGGCAATCGGTAAAACCACAATGGTATATACGGACACATTTTTCTCACTACACGGGAAAATTGAAAAACGGCCTGTCAAATGACTTCTAGCCGGCCTATTTTGCATTATCAGCCCTGCAGCTGCCTCGGGTTGTTCAAACACAGGATAGCGCTATCCAAGGGATAAATCGCGATCAAGTGGATAAGTATAAGAGAAACCAATTGCGCTATCTATTGAATCAATCTGACAGCGCTTTTCATCTTTCGAAAAACTGGGACCTGATCAGCGCATACGATAAGTTTTGATTTATTGAGGTACTTGACATTGCTTAAACAGAGAGCAGGAAACTAAAATTACGTGCAGCAGCGTTAAGCAACTCTTGACGTACACCTGCCAAAACTCAATAAATACAAAAACTTAAATTCAGCAATAAGTATATGATGAGGGCTCCAGTACTAGCTGAAACGCCTTTGGAAAGAGTTTTTAAAACAAGTCAGCTTGAAGCTTTCTATATTAAATTGACAGCGATCCATTTGTCACATATCGTGCTCCTGCAAATGGTGTCTTGCTAAATGTCAAATGTGGGTTACTCATTTATTAATAAATCGCTCCTCATATCAGTAAAAGATTATTTTAATTCAGCATAGAATTGCTTCATGTTAATCCCTCGACCAGAATGACTGAATTCAACGTCTCGATTTTCATTTCTCAGACCATTTCCTGGGGAGGGTTTTTGTTCCATCGTATCCAATACCCCAGTTCTGCAAGTGGAATTTTGACTTCCCTTTTTTTCTCAACATGGGTTTAAAAACAGTTCTTGTTATAGGCACAATTACATCTACAAGAAATCGCAATTCCAAATGCAAGAAATCGCGGTCGAGTTTGCATTTTCTAGACAACAGAAAATGAATAACTTTTCCTCGTGAAAACGATGATAGCAAGTTATGGGTGGAAGTGATCATTGTTTCTTTTTTGGTTGCAGTAGCGACCGAAGATGTCCTCACAGCAAACAATTATTGTGTAAATCTTCTCAAAACTCGAACTGTTCTTTTTGCATGACTAAAAATCGTCGTCTCTTTTTGATAGAATAAACAAACTCGACCGCAATTACGCGTATTGGCAAGCCGTATCACTTGTTTGCCGCACTAAATCACCACGCGACGTTGCTTCCATACCATCAATCCTAAAGCCCGGTCTATTGTACCCCACCAGAGATACAACATCACGTGATCAAAGCAAAGTGGAAAGTAACGTGAGAGAAGGCGGGAAAGACACTGTCAGTTTGTTTTGATTTGTTCTTTATTCGTTGTCGCTGTTGAAGTGAAAGTCGACGAGTAAACAAAAGACTTTGTCTCCGGAAACACAAGGACTCTCTGGATTCCCGAGGGACCTCACATCAAGTGTTATGTTGAATTCGCAAAAAAAGTGTTTTTCAGAACTTAAGTGTTATGTTTCTGGAAAACGTATCGCGGGACATTCTAGAAACCTAACGGACACTCTGGTAACCGGACAGCTCTACTGACGGCCGCCTTCACAAAACCCCGTTTTCCACAACTCACATACGAACTCTGTATTTTTCCATTGATTTCCCGTAAGCGGCCAGCTCCAGTTAAGGACACCCTTTTTATGTCCCGAGGGTGTCCACTTACGAGAGCTTCCACTGTACTTCTTTTAGCTTCCTTTACTTTACTGTTTCTCCTGTATTAAAACATATTTTTGTCAAAGTAAACGCGAGAAAAAACGAGCTTCCTAACTGTTTTTTCAAAGCACTACCATTTAGGTGAATTTATCTAAATTCTAACTAGAGGATGTTTATGTTTATTGGATATTAGATTTTCCTCGAATTTTTTGGCAAAAACCTGTAACAGCAAATGGCTGGAGACAACGTGATTAGGCTTTGAGGCCATGTTTGCGGTTTTCAACGCGAGTTTTTCAGTGTATTTATAATGAAAAGAGATATTTCACCTTCCAAAATAAATCCTTTTTTTTAGTTGGCAAGAGGGCGGAATTCTCCAAATCCTGCAATCTGATTGGTTCCGGGAGCGGGGAGTTATTTTTCGATGTTGCCCCCTAACCCGAGCAGAATCGTTATGGCGGCTTTCACTGACAAGTTTGCTTGTTGTTTGTGAATGAGAAAAAGCTGTGACTTGAAATCATTTTTATTTAAACTTTCGCTCTTGCTAACCCTAGCGAGAAAAAAATTATCAGAATCAAGCAAATCAGGCGGTTCGTGATGCGCTTTAACCTAAGATTAACGTACTGCAATCTCGCCTTAATAAACTGTTTTTGCTCTGTAGTTTTGTTTTCCATTCTTTTTTGTTTTGTTTTGTTATTATTATTAATATAACATGTACACTACCACATCTATATCAATAAAGAACTACTACAAATTAGCAAAATACACTACCTACATGTAATAATGGCTGATAAAAAGAATATACAAGTACTATTACTACTATTACAAAAATAGGAAATAAAATTTTTTTGTATTTTAATTCTCGCCACTACGGTAGAATAACTGAAAATTTTCCCATTTACTTTTCTGATCGGCAACTTTGTTATTTGATTTCGTAAGTTTCCGCTTTGTAACTGGTGAACATACCTGACTTTATTTTTAAAAAAAAATTGTAAAGGAAGGATAAGTGCATTTATTACGCAATTCATAAATATGCTGCTTAGCTGAGACTAACATGTGATCAATAAACAAGTTATCTTCTTTTCTTTGCCAAAATCGAAAAAGTATATCGCTGTCTGAAAGGTCCCTTAATATTATGTTTAGTTCATTACACCAGGTAATAAAGTGCGACCAGAAACTCTTGGTAAAGCAACGTTTTTTTTTTATGAACAATATTTATTACAACATTTGCTCTAAGAGCCCAAAGGGCTCATCTAGAGAGCTTACGCTGTTTACATTTGAATATTTTAAAAATACAAATGCACTTCACGATCGAACACACACACAAGAAAAAGCGAAAGAATAAAAGAAAAAAACAAACAAACAAAAAATATATATATATTATATACATATATAAATAAATAACACACCCAGCAACTAACAGAAGCGATTTCATAGCGAAATAAACGACTGGACAACCTCAGTTGATTTGAAAATCAGCAGTAGAAATACCATTTAAAAGCCAATCGATTTTTTTCTTATCTGAGGCACAATGCCATCTATTTCCAAGTAATTGAGCAGCGGAGGTAAACAACTTTTCACACAGAGCAGCAAAACTTGGACAGTGTAGGAAATAATGTTTCACGTCTTCAATAGATGCATCACAAAGAGCACTGGCAGGTTGAGGACAGCAATTTTTCTGAAACAGGTGATAATTTAAGGCAGTAAAATTAAGTCTCAAACGAGTGTGAAAAATTCACCCTAAACGATCCCCGATACAAAAAAAATAGCTCCCGGATGGAAAATGCAGGAATTTTAAAAGGCTGCGCTTGAAGATACCTGGAGAAGACAATTTGCGTGTCTCTAATGGAAGATTGTTACACTCTTGAATTGATGAAAAGAGAAAAGATTTTTTGTGCATTTCAGTACGAACGAAGGGTAAGCAGAGATTATTGGCAGAACAGAGACTATGACTAGATCTTTCACAAACGAAATTAGGACATAAATCGCATAAATAAGGCGGGGCTAACTTAAATAACATTTTGTACATCAAAGTAAGTTTGTGAATTTTTTTTTCTAACACTAAGTTCGACCCAAGAAATATCGTTTAATAGAGATACCCTGTTTGTCCCTTTAAAAGCACCGGTTACAACCCTTGCGCCCTCTATTTGTTAGCTTTCTAACAAATTACTATCAGATTCACAACATCCATCACAAACCATCAGCATATTCTAAGGATGAACGCACCAAGGATTTGAATAAAACTTCAAATGTATAACGGTTCAAATTGTATTTCAATGGCTTTATGAGTTTAATTTTTTGGACAGTTTTTGATGAATTTTGTGATATATGCGGTCGCCAAGTTAGAAGAAGACAAGGTCAAACCAAGATGTTCATGAACTGTCACATCCTCAATTCATGATACTATTGTTCAAAATCAAAGAGGGGTGAAAAGGTGTATCTCTTTTTGCCGAAAAACAATTGATTATTCGAGTCATGATTAAGCTTAGAAGCGCAATCACAAGGAGACTGAACTTTTTCCTGCAAAAAGCAATCATCGGCAAATAAAAAAAAAGCGAGAGGAGATTGTGGCTGGTAGATCATTAATGTAAACGAGAAACAATAATGGAACTAAGACCGATCCCTGGGGGACACCAACCTCGATATTACGCCAATCAGAGTACACTCCTTCGATTATCACTCTTTATTTACGACAAGAAAGGTAACTTATAAACCAGTTTAACAAATTCCCCTCAACTCCAACTTTGCTATCAGACCCTGATGCTACACTCTATCAAAAGCTTTGGATATATCAAGGAAAACTGCCCCCATCTCACTGCCTTCCTTAAGGGCCTCATAAATTCCGTGAACAATATATACAAGTTGCATTAAAGTGGAATTCCCTGGACGAAAAGCACTTTGTAACTTATAAAAGAATCCAATCCAGTTAAGAAAATGAAAAAGATGAGAAAAAGCTACTTTCTCACAGATCTTAGATAAACATGCAAAAGTGAAACAGGGCGATAATTAGTCCTCAGTTGACGGTCATCTTTTTTACATAACGGCCAAGCATTTACATATAATGAATAACAT